TGGATGCACAGCGATGTCGGCGGTTCAAATCCCACAGCCAGGCTCGGCTGAATTTTAATTTTTGAGTATTGCCTTGTTAAAAAAAATGGTTTTTGTTACAAATATTTTTAACTTTTCGTAATCTTTTATATTGCATGAATTTTTTTCAATTTGATATGCTATATTGAAGTGTACATTTTTTAATTGTTAGTGCACAATACGATCTTTCCTGACTACAATTGACATTTACCTTTCCAACCCCACGATCTACATCGTGCTTCAGCCATAAGATACGAACACATTCAAACAAACAAAAATGACCGACACAGCTGGGGCTCATATCAAAATGAGGACCCACTTCTTTTATGTGACAATAATCCGTACAATGCGAATTCAAAATGCAAAATTCATTGGGATTACAATCAGCGAAATACCAAATATATAAAGTGGCAATACAATATTCGTGCTACATAAAATGTAGCTCTAGATATTTATATCTAGCTAGCTAGATTCATATCCTCCGTAAATTCTTCTGAAACCTTCCACATACTTAAATCTCTGGTACCGTTATGCAGGGGACTATGCGCAGTAGCGTGTAATGACATTGCGTAACAGCCAATCTTGGTAGTAGATCAAAATTTCAAAAAGGTTTTGGGTTCCCAGGCTATACACTTTTAGAGCCCGTTATATGTAGGCTTAACCATACACAAAGGGCCTCAAATATTTTGCTCTATAATTCGCAAAATTTAAGATAGAGTTTTAAATTTGATAAAGTTGCATGTAGAAACATTTGTGCAAAATATTTGTCATGTCGGACTATGTTTCGGTATAGCCGCCATATAAGGGAATATTTGGGTATTTCTGAAAGTTGGTAATTTGAGTTTTTAGAAAGAAGAATATTCCTTTTAAAAAAATTATAATTATAGGCCCACATTTTGGTATAACGCCGATATGAAGGTATCCCCGGATATCAGTTATTTCCATTGTCTTACCAACAGTTTATATATTTCGAGGATATTGAGCACATTTTCCAATCTAAAAATGGCTGATAATGTGTATTAAGGCCATTTTGCGGGTAGAGTGATTAGTGATTTTAACCAAAACTCAGATTTGCTCATTTTCACTCGGGAGCGCATCTTGATTGCGAGCAGGATTGCGCAAAGAGTGGGAGTTTTTTTTACTCTTCACATTTTTGTTTTTGTGGGTTGCTCATGAGTCACTCTTGTTTGAAAAATCAAAGAAAAAAAATCAGCGGAATATATTGCAATGGACTGTTTTTTTTTTTTTTTTTTTTTTTTTTTTTTTTTTTTTTTTTTTTTTTTGTGTACAAAACGCATTTCTAGAAGATTTCGAACCGTGTTGTCATAATTTGTTAGGATGGCGCTTACACAGTAAGTGTGCACAGTAATTCTTATTATTAACGCCGACGGGTGCACCAAACGCACCAAAAATAGAGGTGTTTTTGAGCATGCATAGAAACGGTTTATTTGACTTTGGCTGTTTTTTCATCAGACGTCACCTACATGATGATAAACTCATCGCCAAGTGCAGGTTTTCCCACATGCAAAAAATAACCCTATTATACAAAGAAAATATATAGAAAAAATAATTTTAAATATATATTAGTATGGATCGGTAGCCCTTTGCCCTATATTTAACTGATAAAATTTTCAAAATTGTACATATAAACGTGTTTGCATAAATACGTGTTGTGCGTTTTCGCACCAGTCTATACCGATTTTCACCAAATTAGAAGTACTTGCTTCTGGGTTGAATTCACTCGGATGTACCGAAATCCATTCATATTGGATACATATTAAACATGAGGCGCACAATAAAATTTAAATCGGACGCAAATATATTTGGGAGCATCGAAATCTGAACCGATTGCCAGATATACTTCTAGACTGAACCTGGCTGCGTGTACTTAAATTGATTTGATTGGGACTGATGTTACGCATTTGGTGCACAATACTTATGAAATCGGATGACACTATGTATGGGTGATATATTCAAATCTGATACGTTTATTACAATTTCCATAGATTTTCAATTGGATGATTCTTTCCCTTTTTGTAAGGCAAACGATTTTCTTTGTATCACACGACTTTATCCTCTTAGTCATAAGACTGACGTTGCAGAAAAGCGAAAAAGAGACATAAATAAAATTGGTCGTTTAGTATCGTGTTTTCGATCTTCTATGTTACTCTTCAGAGTTATCAACATCCAGCACGTATATTCGAATCCTTATATTGTAAATTTGTTAAATTAAGCTGTTTAACTACTATAAAAATTATAGTATAATAATAAATAAATAGAGTGCAAAAGGCACGTAAAACCCCATTAGCGTTGCTATATTCTCAAACAAATCCTCTCCAATATTCATAATTGGAACAAGTAAAAAAGCATTAAGTTCGGCCGCGCCGAACTTTGCATACCCTCCACCATTTGGGACGAATTAGGAAATTTAAAAATACCGAATATCGGCTGATATATGTTGCGATATACGATATTGTGTACCTATAAAGACAATTCTCTTTCAGAGGGTAAAGTACTCACAAGGAACTCCCTGTGTTGAATTTCAGACAATTCCATCGAAAAGTGTGACTAAAATCATCAAAATACCGAATATCGGCGGGTACCGTTATATGGGAACTATAGCAAACCGTGGACGGATATATATCATTTTCAATACCAACCATCCTAGACACAGTACAAATTTTCTGCTAAATTTTGGCGCTCTACGTCATATAATGGGGCTGTATCTTGATTTCAACTGACAGATGGATAGACGTCTTTAAATCGACTTAGAATTGTGTGCTGATTATGAATATACATATATACTTTATGGAGTCTTCGACGAATATTTAGGGATGTTACAAACGGAATGACAAAGTTAATATACCCTCCTTTCCAAGGTGGAGGGTATGATAACGTGCAACCTTTGGAACATGTATTATTTCACTATTTTTTAATATTATCGTCTAATTTTTGAGTAATTTTATTAAAATTCCAACTTAATTCTTGTATTTCCTTTACAATGCTATTCATTTATTAAAACATTTTCTAGCACGAAAATTGTACTCAGTAACGCCGAGGGGTGCAAAAACGCACCACCCGCTGCACGAGCAAGGGGTAGAGATAGGGGGCTGAATTTTTGTGCGCGGAATGTGAGTGACATTAGGGCATCCTCCACTAAGTTTCAACATTTTTCTCCCACTAATAAGGGAGCCGGCGTTAATGGGTTAATTATATTAATATTATATATGTAAGCATAATATATAAAACGCGTGTTAATTAATATTTTCATGGTTTATTTTCACTTTAAACACTAAATCATTTACGATGACTGCTTACAACCCTGCAAGCAAAAAACATCCCGCAAATCACTTAGAAGTCACACCTAAGCGATAGAAATCATCGCGTTTGATATCGATTTCTCACCCCCGGAAGAAGCATCCTTCTGGAAGAAACGAACAACGACCGCGATATTTTTAAGCATAACTAAATAGAGTATGCAGCATTGCTTCTAATAATCGTGGAAGTCACTTCATTGACAGTTAATGGATATAAAAAAAATATGTTTTTACTCCAGAATTAACAATTATTTTTTATTGCTATTTTCACTTTTCCAATGTAGGCTTGCTTGTAACTTATACAATTTGGCTGAAAAACTCACACATTATGTTTTTTTTTTCATATTTCAAATGTGATGTCTGGTATAGAAACCGAGCCCAGGTGTTCAGAGAGCAAAGCTGGCATGCTTATCACTGCCCCACAGTGTCTTATATTCCTCAGATAGAATAAACTCTTATTTATGTTCAATTAGTAACTAACTGTAAACTATCGGTGTTTTATCCGGTGGAAGTTACAAGAAAGAGTCTGCACACGCGACATCTTATCTTATATTCCTTGGGGCCACTAAGTAGTAACTCAGTGACGATAGAAATAGACAACAGTAGTTTCGTTATCGCATTTTTAGAACAAATTTTTCACCTTCCAGGAGTGTACTCGCTCGACTTCGAAGTATGTTTCACTCTTTGAGCAAAATCGAGTGAATTATTCGGAGGTCTGATTTTAACCGATTGGCGGACAAACGGACCGATATTGTTAATTCATTTTTGAATTTTATTATGATCAAAAGCACAGACTTCATAGGAACTCTAACGCAAAATTTAAGGTGACTATTTGACTATTTTGGAAACCTTCTGGCCTCAATTATGAGGTGGACAAAAGCAAATACCACTAAAATTACGGGCCGCCAACGCGGACCGGACCAGCTTGTAATATAATATACTAATTAAGACAAAATTATTGATTATCTACGATCGTCGTAAAAGGGGGTGACAGACATTTTGCAAAATTAGAGACAAATCTAAAGAAAGCCGTTAATTAAAACGTTTTAAAATTTTCTTAAGTGTCAAGGTCTGGAGAGCTTTATAATTTAGCAGGGTGTATTTGACTAGAAAGTCAAAAAATTAAACGGCTCAAATTCGACTGCGAATTCGATGCGGCCAAATGATTATTTGGGGAATTGTGATAGGTGAAAGAAAGAAAAGAAAAATAAATTAGTTTTTATTGGTTTTTAGTGGTTTATTGAGTTATAGAGAATTCTATTCGAGCAAACAATATTGCCGTTAGTAATTTAGGTTGGCACAGAGTACTTTGACTTCTAATCGACAAGTGAATGCAGAGTTTCTTGTGGTTCGCCTCGGCGATCGTTGTGGTCGTCAGTTACAACTTAAATATTTTCCAATGAGAGCAGAGTCTTACATGTATAAAAGTGAGCTTACAAACACAACCACTTTTATTAAACATCTACACCTTACGGTCTCCGCTGTTTGTGCTGGCAATCACTGCAGAAGCACAGAAAACGGAAAGTTGAAGGCCAATTTGTAGACCCTATGTAACCGAACATAGCAAAACTCGGGTTTTTGATAATTTTTCCAAAAAAAAAAAAAAAGAAAAAACAATAAAAAAAACATACTGCAATTTTCAGTTATCTTAATTTATTTGTTTAGTTGTTCGATTTTAGATACGCATATCAAGAAATTTTGGAAAAACGCGAGGAAAAGATACGTTTGGAATTGGAAAATGAAAAATTTCAAGCGATAAATAAAATTGAAGTTGATCGCTGTGAACATGAGAGAAAAATGAAAGAACGTCTGGACCAAATGGATTTAAAGCAATTAGTTTTGAAATGTGATGAGGAAATTATTGACTCTGAACGAAAATTAAATGCCCAACATCTTAAACAGGAGACAGCTCTCGGTAAAAGTCCATTGAAAGTAGTTCAAATGAGGAAATCGAATTTGTTGGATGAAATTAATAATATAATGCAAACCCCCAGCAAAGGAATACAACATAAAATACAGTTGTTGGTAAGTAAATTTTTTAGGAATAAATATAAATAAAACAGTTATAGTATTACTTTTTTTTATAAAGTGATACATAGCGCGGTGTATCACTTTATCACATTTGTTTAAAATATGGTACTTTAAGTTTCTAATGGTAACTTAACTTTGTTAAAACATCACAACAAATAGTACCATTTGGTACTATTCCTTTACCCAATAGCCAATATAGTACCACATAGTACTTTTCGAAAAATTATAGCACACATTTCCAAAACCATCCCATATCTTAACCACAGACACCAACAGTGACCTTAACATAAAATTTCGGTATTCCAGCACTATCGGTTCACACAAATCCAAATTGTACCAAATTCAGTACACATAGGTACGAATTTCCAAAACTTCCTACCCAAATCAATCTTAAAATCCCACAGAAATTTCACTACCCAATTTCAGGATTCCAGCCCTATCGGTTCCCCCAAATCCAAATTGTACTAAATTTTGTACTATTTAGTACACATGAGTACGAATGTTCATAGCTTCCTACATGTCCCAATCCTATACTCCCACAGCAATCCCAATTCCAAAGTTCAGCATCCCATACTTATCGGTTCACCTAAATACAAAGTTTACTAAAATTTAGTAGCATATACAGGCATGTCACAGAATCGATTCGGAATGGTTTGTATTCCGTAATTCAAAATCGATTGCTTTTCTTTTAGATTCTTTAGATTCCGTACGATTTGGTGAACTACGAAAATTGCATTACTCAATATGAATATGGCAGTATTAGAGGAATGAAAGAACGAATAAATGAGGAATCAAAACAAACCACATGATTAGAAAACACTGTAAAAGTGGAAACTGTGAAAAATATTCTGTTTAAAATACTTTTTTTTTTGCGAAAAGAAAATTAATTTTGTAATTTTTACTTAAGATGGGAGATTTGATTGTTTCTTAAATAGAGGCTCAAAGTAATGAATAATGAATTTTAGCTTATAAATTAATTCCTGTGTTTGCTCTATGGCTTGTCCCTAAATGATTAAAACGTTAATTAACATTCCAGAATAGATACATCATAATTTTTTTTTGTTTTATTTTTTACCTTTGTTTCAAATTATCATTCGTAAATAATTATTGTTGGTGAAAAAAACTGGTTCTCAAAAAAAAAAAAAAAAAAAAATATGTGGCAACACTTTGATAGCAATTGTCTTCGTCAGTTGAGAAACAAAATTTGCAAATTATTTTAAATAAGAAGATAAAAAACATGGAATTTAATTGTGTATTTGTTATTAAAACAACATTTTTATTACTTGAAAGTGTTTTAACCGCGTTTTGAAGTTACGAGTTCTCATAAAAACACTATTTCACTTGCAAAATCCAAAGTGGTTTCAAACCGAAATAAATTCGAGTTTTTCGTTTTCTGATATTCGTTTCGTACGACATTCGTTCCTGTGACATGCCAGATATTACAGATAAGTTTGAATTTCCAAACCTTCCTATATAACCCTATCCTACAGACCAACGGTAATCTTAATTCCAAATTTCAGGATTCCAGCTTTTTCGGTTGTACCAAAATTAGGTCTATTTAGTACAATGTTATTAACTAATTGCATCATACAGACCATAAGAAGTTTTATTTTAAAATTTCAGGATTACAACTCTACTCTCTTATAAGTTTAACTCAGCTTTCTCTAATTTTTTTTTTTTTATTTTTGTTGTTTTGGTCACCATGTTTGTTGTGTTCGTTTCTTACAAAATGATACAAATTTTGCATTTTTGGAATAGTTGGAATAAGGTTTTTCAATATCAATCTGATTGCGTTTATTGTCGAGCTCATTATCTAAAATAGAAGTCGAACAGTCTTTAATATTGCCAATTTCGCGCACAGTGTGCTGTGCCTTATTTAAGTTCATTCTATTTTTCATGGGGTCTTTTATTGTATGAAGCATCTCCAACATGTTTCTTCGTTTGCGGTAAAATGTTATTAGGTGTATGTGCTATTGTTGCCTGTTTTTTATTACAAAGGCTTGTCTTTAGTTTTTTTTTTTGAATTCGCCATCTGGTCGTCCTTTTTAATTGGGCCATGACATAATATTAAAATAAATGAATAGCAAAATCTCCATCGTTGATATCTTGCTATGTTACAAAACTACAGAAAAATGGCACTAACTTTTAGTTTGGCAAATAACTAGTTCTAATTTGTATCCTCTTAGTATCAGTCAAGTCAAGATAAGCTAATTTAATTCACAATGCGTAAGAAATCTTCAAATCGAAAGGTAACGTTATACGACATCTATGGCAGATTGTGGACCTATATTCAACCGTTTATGTAAAAACGACATAGATCCCAAAATGTCAAATTACAGTTCATGCAGTTGGAAAATAACGACATTCAATAATATAATTTTTATAGAAAAGTTTTAAATCAGTACAGGTTTTAAGTCTACTCTCAATAATATGTTCCGGTTTTTATCTGAATGGTCATTTATTCTACTTTTAAGATGTTTTTAATATTTAATTTTTTATGTTTATATGTTTCTTATATTTGCAGGTAAATGAAGCAAATGATCATTGTGAAAATAATAACATTGACTTGGAATTTAAACCATTGTATGCGGTGGATCAATTTGGAGTTCCCCACTTTCAAATAATAATCGTCGATAAGGAAAAGCAACTGCAAGCGGAGTGGCCGGTAGCTAGACTTCAGGTTTGGCTCCATACTTTACAAGAATATTGTCACCTGAAAGATATATTTAAATTTGTGGATATCGAATGGAAGAAATTGGATGGACAATGCAGAAAAAATGTGTTTGAAGATAAGGATGTAGTTTCAAAAGAGCCTGTTCATAATATAACCTCTCTACTTCCTATCGAAAAAATATCGCCGAACAACGAAAATACGGATATTGGAACTACAGCCGTAAAATACCTTGACCAAATTTTGAAATCTTCGGAAGATCTTAAAGGACTATGTTTATCTAATTATGGTAGTATGGAACTTAATAATGTGCGATCGTCTTTAAAAGAATTGTTAGAGCGCATAACTGACACCCTGAATACAGTTGTCAATTGTATAGAAAACAATTGACCACCAAATAAGAACGTTTAGAACAAACGTTGTAAATTATGCTGTTAAGCATCAATACCAGATATTACACAAAACTTTGTCAATACTAATTCTTTGATCATTTTGCGTTACTGACATGACTATTTTACTTATTATGTATCAATGCATATTCATGTAAAAAAATAACAATTTTACAATAACGTCGTTGTTGTTATATAAAACAATTTTTCAATTAAATAAATTCAAAAATATAGTTTTTAAAAATTGTTTTATTTAATAAAACTTTATTATTTATTAATTTAATTTTAAGATTATACTTAAAACATTGTTGACATGTTTTTTCGGGATACCGTAGTATTTTTTGTTTCAAAATAGTCAGGTTTAATCCCATTATTGTTGTTTTTATAGAAAGCAACGTGTTTAAGTTAGGTATTTTCACTACAAATCTGCAGGGAGCCATTGTTAGCTTAGTTCCGATCACATAGAGATCTCCCTTCCTCGTGTATTCCCTACAAATCCTCCAATAAACCGTATCGTTTACTGTGAATTATAGGCGATACTTACTGTTACCTTACAAACCTACCCGGAGACCATGTTCGCCATGCTCGGATCATAGGCAGTACTTACTCTCATGATTGTGGAATTTCGGATCGGATCGTAGTGAGAACATTTCCAATAAGCAGTGATTGCGTCAGTCTTGCATAACTTTCGGCAGCCCATCATATTCTGTTGGTCGTTACACTGGCAACCTGTAAGTACACGTCTCAACCAAACAAGGCAAAGTTCGTTACGGACACTTTTCCTCTCAATAAATTACCCTCATATTTTTATTATTATAAAATCGAACAAACTGCTGTTTTTTTTTCCATCTTATTCTTTTCCGGTACCACACTCGGTTTGTATCACAACAACTTAATCGGTCTCATCTATAGAGAGCTGTTACACAAAAATTTGATCCAATCCAGCCGGATCCCAGAGAAACTTGCTTTGCGTTGTTGTGTTATCGGAGTTCTTTTATCTTTTTTTACCAAACAAGGCAATCATAAACCAACCGTCGCCACCATCCTCCTCAACCATCCATCCAAATTCAACACCAACACACATTTCAACGGAGATATACCAAGTATGTAAATTCCGTTTTTTATACCCTCCACCATACTATGGAGGGTACATTAGCCTTGCCATTTGTTTGTAACTCCTCGAAATACTCATATCAGACCTAACAAAGTATATATATTCTTGATCAGCGTAAAATTCTAAGTCGATTTAGCGATAATGTCTGTTGTTGTTGTAGCAGCTCATACATCTGTGTTCATTCGGTTTCCATTTTTTCTGACTCCATTCAATCAAGTTCTACCTCTATGTCCAGTCTCCAAATGGATGCAACCTGGGGCCAAATCACCGCAGTCGAAATCGAGTACTTCGGCATCGTAATGTAGTTTACGCGGATCACCGCAGTCGTTATCGAATTGTTTTTACTCGAAGTTGTGCACGAAAGGTAGTATGCTATCGAAAACAAAGTATGTAGTGATTTTTGCGCGAAAAAAGAAAACAAAAAGAAACAAGAAGTTGGAGAAAATATAAGTATTATTCTATTTTGGCAAAACATTTAAGAAAATATTATAATTCTTGCATTTAGGGAAAAGGATAAAAAAGGTAGCCTCTTCAAAAAACTGCAATAAAGTCAATGCAAAGCAGAAGGAGGTATTGGCTCAATTTATGTTGGAGCATCGGGACTTGGCCAAAAATAAGTTGCAAAACTGTGCTCAACAAAAAATGATAAGTCTAAACTTATGGCCCGAATTGACAACCAAACTAAATTCCTGGGGCCCTCCAGTGAAAGATATATCAAGTTGGCGCAAAGTCTATACGGATCAAAAGCATAACACAAAAAAAAAAACTTTCGCACAACAAGGCCTCCAAGAAGAAAACTGGTGGCGGCCCATATGATGAAATAATACTTTCTGTAGCAGAAGAACAAATTGTGGAAGCAGCTGGGCTAACTGCGGCTGTAGCTGGCTTAGTAAATGTTGAGTGTTTCGGAAGTCCCACCAACCAAACTAGTGCCGAAACGAAAAGAAACATTAGTTGTATATCGAAAAGTGACATGTGAGATATTGCGATTGAGTTGCTCAAAACTTCACATAGGCATATGCCCAGAAGAAGGTTGAAAAGCATTACCAAGCTAGACCTTTTAAAAGAAAATATTGACCAATATAAATACTGGCAAAGTGAAATTGGAGGAAAGATGTACAAGATCATTGACATTAAAGAGCGGTCACTTAAACTAAAAGAGGAAACTAATCGTAAGATAGATAAATTGATCTATCTTAAGGAACAAGCCTTGAAATTGAAACAAATGGAGTTTGACGCGAACATAGCCTCTAAACGAATTGACCTACATTGGAGCTTGAAGCGCTGAAACCAAAATCCCTCTGAAGAGAATACAATAAAATTTATTTTTATTGAAAGTAGTCAAATTACATTTTGCCTCAATATCGTTTAATACCTTTTTTATTTTCAAAGCCTTTTATTTACCATTGAACTGAATTAGTGAAAATGACATTCTCTGTCTGATTGTTTTACCTTCATGATCTCATAAACAATAAATTATTATTTAATTAAATTAAACAATTAAATATTAATTAATTAATCTCATTAACAATTAATAGTTTTTACACGTATAGTTTTTATCAAAGCATGAATTTATTCTTTGATTTGTTTAATTTTTTTTTTGTTAGTTTAAGTACGTAGTGTTATATAAAAAACATAAAATGTATTTTTGTTTACGAAGTTTTTTAATAAAGTCATTCTTTAAATGTTATTTAAAGACATTTTTATTTTGTCCCTTATTTTTTCACCAATTTTTATCAAACGGGTTTCCCCGCCAGTATATACTTCAAGGCTCGCTAGAATGTACATGTGTGTACATTGCCACATTGAACATTATACATATATTGTGCAAAGCAGCGCATACATTACCAAATAGTGCCATTTTTCGGGAGTGTAACGGCTTCTTCTCTCATTGCTTAGGATTCCTCATCGAGCCTTTAAAACTCCTTTTGTGCGTTTTATAATACACCTCGCCTTTGCATGAACTCCATTAAAATGGGCATCTGTAGAATCTTCAGCAGCTACCGCATATAGAACTACACACCAGGGCTCTGTGGTATATCCAGAGTCACCTGCAAAATAAATATGTATGTGAATATTTACCATAAACCCAAGAATATAACATTTACAATGAACCAAAACGTTAAACCCTTTCTCTGTGTACAGTTGCTCCAGTAAACCCCATTCTTCAGAGTGTTTCCACACAAAACTGTCGTGCGAAGCACCGCCGTAATTTGAATTTTTAACCAGTACTTTGTACTTATGGTCACAAATCTAAAAGTTTTACAAAATCGTTAACTGATAAATGTAATAATATACACAACTTACTATCATTGCATTTAGACCGTGAAATCCTTTTCTATTGAAAAACATGTATTCATCCTTTGAGGGAACTTGGAAACCAAAGTGTGTGCCGTCTACACTACCAACCAGTGAAAGTAATTTTTGTTTTAACGATTTGACATATATGCCTCCAATATGAATTGTACAAATAACTCCAGACAATTTATAGTTTTCCATGAAATATTTCATGCACTCCTCAGATTCTTGTGGCAAAAATTTTGGAACAACTCTAGTTTAGTAAAAACTCTTCGATTTTTTGGAAATTTTTTCCAGAGGTAGGTATTTTTACCCTGATCCCGGGAAACTATTTTTTTCTTGGGGGACGGACCCGGGACCCCAGACCCGAAAGTCCGGGATCAAGACCCCGCCTGGACTTGGATCCACAAATTGTAGCATTTTGGAAAGGTAAGAGTGTCAGCTATAATTTGGCATCAATTTTGTTGTCCCCCATAATGGACCCTTTTTTGACTTTTTGGGGGTTTTATAAAAAATCCGGGGCCAAAAAATCGATAATTTGACTATAACTTCCTATAACTTCCGATCTATATTGCCCATATCGGGTAATTGGATCCGGGTCTAGTCGGGGTCTTGAACCCGGACTTTCGGGTCAAAAATCTGGGGTCCCAGGTCCGTCCCCCAAGAAAAAAATAGTTTCCCGGGATCAGGGTAAAAATACCTACCACTGGAAAAAATTGAAGAGTTTTTACTAAACTAGAGTTAAGCCAAAAATTTATCAGCATGGGACACAACTTCTTTTGTATTTCGATAGTGGTATTTTTTTTATCACTTTGCACATTGTACGTTGAGCTAAAAAATGTTAAACGTGGCGGCAAGTTGTAAAATTAGTGGTACGGACGTCGAAATGTGCTCAGGAAAATTTATTTTTTTCAATAACATATTTAAAGGCTTCTTTTGACAGACGAAAACGTCTTTTAAATCTATGGATGTTAAAAACAAAATTATTTAAAAAACTCATTACAAAATAGAACACACAATGTCACTTTATACTCATCCGCTGAATCCGACGACGAGGAAAGCAAAAATACATTTGGATTCATAATATATATTTTTTACATATATATTTTAACACACGAAAACAATATATTTTTTCAGAAATAGCATATTTTAATCACAAAAACTTATTTCGAAATTCTCTTTCGCTCCCATTTTCTTATTACCATATATTTACAGCAATGCAGAAAAAAGTAGTAAGCAAATTAAATTACGATCGGATGCGGTGATCCAAAAATTTACAGCGATCGAAATGTATTTCTATACGAAAGAGAACTCGATGACGAATACGGTGATTTGGCCCCTGTATTGGTTGTGTCCATAACGAGACTGGAGTTAGGTGAGTAGGCTTGACTGGGCAGCGAAATAGGTGCAACGTGTCATGTGGGCCTGTGCCACAAGCTGGGCAGATGTTCTGCACGTCGCTGTTTATCCGGGCCCAGTAGGAATTTAGGCGGCTGCACCATCCGGATCGTAATTGAGCCTAAACTACTAGGGTTGTCGGGATAGCTCTCGTTCTTCATCTGCGACGGAAGGGGGATGGTCTCCTAGCACAATGGCTTCTGAGGCCGCATTAGAGTGAATACTATTCAGTCCCGCTTGATAGGCCTGTTGTTCTAGAGGCTCTCTCTTATACCTCTGTACCTCTCTCTAGCTCATGAAGGTCTTTCCTAACGTGCCTGGGCGGAGGTTGCCTATCCACAAGATGGTGATTCGGATGGCTCTGTCTATAACACCCAAGAAGGTATTGCATTGACAGCATTTTGTTATGCTGTCGCACCGGTAAGACCTTCGCCTCCTCATTTAGGTGATCGACAGGTGTCATGAGAAGGCACCCTGTTGCGGTTCTAAGGGCGGCATTCTGGCAGGACTGAACATTTTTCCACTGCGTAGCACTGACATTGGCGGACCATAGTCGAGTCACATAGTTTACCACAAACCGGCCTATCAAGTTTTAAGAGGTCAACAAGGTTTCCTTATCACCTCCCCAAGTACTGCCGGCCAGAGACTTGAGGACCTTGTTCCTACTTCTAATCTTGTCGGTGATAGCTGTGGTATGCGCGGACGACTTAAAGAGGCTATCGAATGTGAGCCCTAATACTTTGGGGTAGTTGGTGGTCGGAATTATAGCACCATCGACCTGCACATTCAAGTATAGCCCCGTCTTCGCAGTCCATGTGGTGAAAAGTGTGACCGTCGACTTAGTGGCGGATATCTTCATATTTCTCGCAGTGAAAAAGGCGGTAAGATCAACAAATGCAAATGTCCGTCAGTCTGTTGTAATCACGCTATCTTTCGACGAATTGAAATAAAAGGCTAACATTTTGCATACACGATTGTTTTTTCAGAAGGAAGGTTAAGTTCGTAAATGGGCCATGTAGGTCCACGATTTCATATAGCACCCATATAACGGTACCTCCCGATATTCGGTATTTTAATGATTTCAGAGTCATTATTCACCGGAATTGTTTCAAACTTAATTTAAGCAAATGTGAGCATACGTGCTTCTCCAGATCTTCCCTGATATTGCAATATAATATTGACGGTCATTCATTATCAACTGTAGATTCATTTGTCCATCTCGGCCTCTTGATGGATCCCAAATTAAATTTCAATAGCTATGTAATAACAGTGGTAAATAAAGCAAATGGTGTTTTAGATTTTGTTAAACGGTGGGCCAAAGAATTTTCTGATCCATATATAACAAAACAGTTATTTACGTCTCATGTAGACCTAGACCAGATAAAATAGAATCCGTGCAAAAACAATTTCTGCTCCTTGCCTTACGGGGTTTACATTGGAATAGTGATTTTGTTTTGCCTTCTTATGCTAGCAGGCTAAAATTAATTAGATTGCCTACACTTAAAAGCAGACGTATTATGTTGAACTCCATGTTTGTACTAAAAGTATTGAATGGTAAAATACCTTTAGATTTCCTAATCTCATCTATTAGAATTAATGTTCCGTTGTAGATCCGCAATGTAGATCTAGTAGATACTACCAATTATTATGTACCGATTTTCACCGCACGAATTATTCAATGGGCGAACCTCTTAGTAAAATGTGTTTAATTCTGTGTACTGTAATCTAGATTTTGGTATGAGTTTAGAAGTTATTAAATCTAGAATAATTTTATTGTTAAACAATTAAGATACATGTTTTTTTTTACTTGACAAACTAGCTGATGAATTATATTCTGTAGCTGGTTTTCAATTCCCTACTAAATTCCCATTATGATGCTGATCATGATGTGTATGCGATCCCTACGTAATGGGTAGTCGCCCCCCTCCGTCGGCAGGGGTGGGAATGTGAGGCGTGGGAACGTTCGAAATTACGTATTTAGAGTTCGTAATCGGAACTACAGTCTGTGACAGAAAATTGTCTATGCAGGTCCAGGTCTTCGCATAAGCCCCTTACACCAGTACCTCCTTATATTCGGTATTTTGGCGAGTTTAGGTACAATACCCAGCGTAATTGTTTGAGATGCCGTATTTGAAGTTCGTAATGGATGCTACAGCCTATGGCAGAAAATTGTCTATGCTGGCCCAGGCCTTCGCACAGCTCCAATATAACGGTACTTCCCTATATACAATATTTTGATGATTTTAGCTACATTATTCACCGTTTATTCAAGTTTCGAGTTTGAATATGGTAATGACATATGACAAACAATGCCTATGTAGGTCCACGTCGTATAGACACCAATATCACGGCTATATTCGGTATTTTTAAAAATTTAACAGAAGTTTTTAAGGATTTTATTTCCAAATTCGTTCCAAATGGTGGAGGGTATTCAAAGTTCGGCCCGGCCGAACTTACTGCTTTTTAATTTGTTTTTTTAAAGTGAGATATTCGCGAGTGTTTCTCTTTTCCAAGATAATAAATAAAATCGCCATACTATATACTTTTATTCACCCTATCGATCTTATTTCATTAAGAAAATGTTCTTTATTATTATTCGATACAGTTCACGTCAATATATTTAACTAATATTCTCACCAAAACACTCTGTTCCATACTTTTAGTCTTTAATGTAAATTTTTTAAAGGATAATAAATCACAGATCTGAATTATGTAAGCGGACAACTTTTATCCTGAGTAATGACTCCATTGTAATTTTTAAATAGAAATAAATATTCATGGTGTTTATGTAGAGCAATGGGGGAAAAGAAACAATAAGAAAAATAAAACAATTTGAATTAATTTATTTTCTAGCTAAATTTGCTGGTTTATTGAATTGCTTTGTAATGTTTTTTTTAACAAAAAGGTTACCTCTTTTCAATATGGTGTTAACGACAGTGGCCGTGATGGGTTTTGCTTCAAAGACTAATGACAAGTGAACGCAATGGTTCTGAGTGACCGCTGAGGGTCTCATGTCTTCTACTACCACATATGTAACTACTTCCAATGAGAGCATGTGTAACAAGGTGAGATTACCGACAACAACCAACGCCCAGCGACGATCCGCACCTTACGGTCTCCGCCAGGGGAGTTATAGAGGAGATGCCAGTGTGCCAATCAGCATCCTTGATTGATTGAGCAAGGGAAGTTAAGGGACAAAGTATCTTATTTATACATTGCCGCCCACCTTGATATACATGCATGTCTATCAACTAAATAAAGCTAAAAAAAATATATATGTAAATTCATGTACAATAAGATTTACAAGGACGTAAGTTCAGTTTATATGTGAGCAAATTTCATTATATTACATTCAATTAAATTATTTTTTTAAACATCTTGAGAAGCTAAATACATGTATTGGTTGTGTCCATAACGAGACTGGAGTTAGGTGAGTAGGCTTGACTGGGCAGCGAAATAGGTGCAACGTGTCATGTGGGCCTGTGCCACAAGCTGGGCAGATGTTCTGCACGTCGCTGTTTATCCGGGCCCAGTAGGAATTTAGGCGGCTGCACCATCCGGATCGTAATTGAGCCTAAACTACTAGGGATGTTGGGATAGCTCTCGTTCTTTAAGGGAGGGGGATGGTCTCCTAGCACAATGGCTTCTGAGGCAGCATTAGAGTGAATACTATTCAGTCCCGCTTGATAGGCCTGTTGTTCTAGAGGCTCTCTCTTATACCTCTGTACCTCTCTCTAGCTCATGAAGGTCTTTCCTAACGTGTCTGGGCGGTGGTTGCCTATCCACAAGATGGTGATTCGGATGGCTCTGTCTATAACACCAAAGAAGGTATTTCATTGACAGCATTTTGTTATGCTGTCGCACCGGTAAG